TATTTTTGCAACTTTTCCCTAAATTTGAAAATATTTCCAAAAAAAAGTTAAAAACATTTCAGTATGTATGGTAAGTTCTCTTTAAAAATAATAACAATGATACCGTTATCATATCTAGAATTTTTTGTCAAATACCCTAAGACCATCAAATATCCAATCGGTGTTCAAATTTTCTAGATTGTCCCATAAGTGTGCGTGTGTGTGTGTGTGTGTGTGTGTGTGTGTGTGTGTGTGTATTTATAGTTGGTCTGAATTAGGATCCTAACAGGGACCACACATTGTACTTGTTTGATATGCCTCATGTTTCTTTTAATCTATAGATTCTCCCATCCTCTTTATTCTCTTGCAAATTATTTTGCTGATTACATCCCAGACTGTAGTTCAATACATAGATGTCCTAATACTTACATCTGTCCAGTAACATAACTGTGTCCTTTAATGTAGAAAGTGATCCATTACTGAATATTCAAAAAGAAGCTAGATGCTTTAAAAGGCATTTTTATAGTATAGAAGTACGAGTTTGGACCTCTGGGACCTTCAAGGTTGCTACCAACTATGAAATTTTTATTATATGAAAATATCAGCACAGGCAAGACATGGGTAGAAGTCTAGGCAGTAGCCACAGTTGCTGAACTATTTTCATCTCTTCAGGGGCTAAGGAATGCGTGTTGTATAATATCATCAGGTCTAGGTCTCAGCAAAATTAGGACCCAGGCTAAGTGTGTGTGGTGGTTTTAATATATGTCCATAAATTCCTCTATATTTCTCCTTTCAAGAAGTGAAACCCAATTCCCCTTCCCCCAAGTGTGGTTACTTCTAACGAATAGAATATGGCTGAAATGATGGTGTATGACTTTTGAGACTAGGTCATAAAAGGCATTGTGGTTTCCCTCTTGTCTTTTCTATCGAATCATTTGTTCTGGGGGAAGCTAGCTGCCATGTCATGAGAATATTCAACCAGCCTTGTGGAGAGGCCTATGTAGTGAGAAACTGAGGTCTCTTGTCACCAACCATGTGAGTGCACCATCTTGGAAGTGGATCCTCCAGTTCCAGTTAAGTTTTCAGATAACTGCAATCTCTTGAATGACCCTGAGCTAGAACCACCTAGCTAGCTTCTTGAATTTATGACCCACAGAAACTGAGATTATATATATGCATTTTTTTCCCTCGGGGGAAAAATAGCCCCAAACATGAGTTTCCTTTTCCTCTTAAATCTTAGCTTCATAATGCTTCACTGCCCTTGTTAGTTCCTTAATACCTCAAATAGAAGCTTAAAAAATTTTGTCCAGCTTTTCTATTTCTCAATGGGATGATTAGTTGCAATTACATAGTCCAAGATTACCTCATTAGCAGAGATGAAACTCCCCAAAATGAACTTTTAAAAATGTAAACTTGCGCATACTACTTTTGCTTAAATCCCTCCAATAGTGTAGAAAAATGTTGTCAGCTGCAAGCAACAATATACACTACCTCCCCGCTGCCCAATCCATGGTTTCACTTTCCATGGTTTCAGTTGCCTGTGGCCAACCATGGTCTGAAAATATTAAATGGAAATTCCAGAAGTAGACAATTTATAAGTTGTAAATTGTGCATCATTCTGAGTATCATGATGAAATCTCATACTGTCCCGCTCCATCCCAGCCAAGACATGTAATCATCCATTTGTCCAGTGCATCCATGCTGTATACACTCCTTGCCTATAATTCATTTAATAGCTGTCTCAGTTATCAGATTGACTGTCATGGAGTCACAATGCTTATGTTCAAGAATTAATGATGCTGGCAATTCGAGTATGACAAAGAGAAGCTGTAAAGTGTTTCCTTTAAGTGAAAAGGTGAAAATTCTCAACTTAGTAAAAAAGATAAAATTTTGTATGCTAAGGTTATTAAGATCTATGGTAATAATGAAGCTTCTATCTGTGAAATTGTGAGGAAGGAAAAAGAAATTCATGCTAGTTTGTTGAGAGAGAAAAAGAGAGGGAGAGACCACATTCACATAACTTTCATTATAGTATCTTGTTATAGTTGTTCTGTTTTATTATTAGTTATTGTTAATCTCTTACTGTGCTTAATTTGTAAATTGAACTTTATCATAGGCATGTATATGTATAGTTTAGTACTATTTACAATTTCAGGTACCCACTAGGGGTCTTGGAACATACCCCCTGTGGATAAAGGGGGACTACTCTACTCAATGAAATGTGGTTTAAATTATAGGGTTTGTTAATCTCAATGACAAGAAATTGGGTAGTAGAGCAGTGCCATGGTTGGTTAATTCAGTAGGTAATTGGTGTCACCAAGGATTTGGGCTTGTTCTATAGCTCCGCTTTGTCATTCTCAACATGTTGGTGATTATTTACACTTTTGGTGGCGAAATCATTGCTGGAACTCTGTATTAGTTATCTACTGCCGAACAACAACAACAACGAAAAACCTAAAAAAAATAGTGCTTTAAAACAACAAACATTTATTATCTCACAATTTCTGTGGGTCAGGAATTCGGGAATAGCTAAGCTGGGTAATTCTGGTTCAAGGTCTCTCATGAGATCACAATCATGATGTTGGCCAGGGCTGCAGGCATCTGAAGGCTTGAGCGGGCCTGGAGGATCCATTTCCAAGATGGCTCATTCACATGGTTACTGGCAGGAGGCCTCAGTTCTTCCTTTTCTGGCCGTTCCTTACTATGTGGGCTTCTCCATCAGGTTGTTTGAGTATCCTTGTGATATGGTAGCTGGCTTCCTTGAGTGAATGACTTAAGAGAGAGAGCAAGGAAGAATCCACAGTGCTTTTAATACTTAGTCTTAGAAGTCATGCATAGTCATTTCTACCACATTCTATTAATCAGAAGTAAGTCAGTAAGTATAGCCCACACTGAAGGGGAGGGAATTAGGCTCCACCTTTCAAAAGTATGAGTATCAAACAATTTGTGGACATATTTTAAAACCACCACAAATAGCAAACATAATGTTCTTATAGGCCAGCATCCCAAGCAAGAAGGTCCAGAGTAAGGGCAAAAAATCCAAAAGACCTGACTCCTCTAGCTGCTCTCTCTTTTATCAGAGAGCAAATTCTTTCTCAGAAAGTGTCAATGGACTTCTCCTTATATATCATTGGCCTACATTGAGTCAATGCCCATTTCCAGACTGATTCATGATGAGGGAAATCCGATTACTATGCTTAATTTAAGTCAATTATGATTCTTTCCTTGGGGCTATGACATAAGCCTGCTTTCTTTGAGTACTTGTCACTGGCCCAATAATCAGATCAGGTTTCTGTGTAGCAAGAAAGGTGGTGGCTAGAGAGTAGCTTTTGGGTAGGTAACAATGACGACAACAAATGGTTTCTCGTTGCTCTTAGGTTAAAAATCACCTCTTTATCATGCTTATAAGGCCCCAAGGATCTGGTCCTTGCTTACCTTCCCTCCTCAGTATAATTTTAGACCTCTCTTCCTCCCACTCTATTTCCCAGCAAGACTGGACTTTTTGTGTTGTCTCAGACTCCTTCCATCCGTAGGATCTTTGCATCTCTGATGCTATTTCAGGTCTGTAGTAGATAAAGCTTCCTGATCTTTATGAGCTTTAATCTTCTCATCTGTAAAATAGATAATAATGCCTACTTCAAAAAACTTGTGAGGAGTGAGTCATGTATGTTCAGCCCCTAGCAGTGTCTGGCATACAGTAAGTGCTCAACAATCAGGAAGTATTAAGTTCAGGCTGTGAGATTGTATGCTTGTTTTGCTTTCCCCACTGATGCCTTTGCTTGCTAGTCTTTTTGATCTCGAAAGAATTGCTTCCCACTACCATAATAACTTAGATGTAATGAAATAAGTGCTAACTATATGCGGAGATGATCATGGGGAGGCCAAGAGGCCCATTTGGGACTCAAACGTAGCATGGACTCATTCGGAAGTAATTCCCTGGAGGCTTCCCAAATACACATTGACAGGATTGAAATAAAGTGTTTGTCTTATAACTTTAAACTTGTGTCTCATTATCTCTCTCTCTCTCTCTCTCACACACACACACACACACACACACTTACTTGTATCTAAATACCAATGCACTATGAATTAATATTTCCTACATCGTACCTGGAACTTGAGTGTGCCATTTGTAGGAAATTTTTGTTTTTGATTTAAATTACTTCATTCCAGTCAACTCTGTAAGCCTGTTAGATACCCCACACCTAGTTCCTAACAATGGTGACTGTATTGTAGTAAAGTGTATGGACTCTCCATCTCGACTGCCTAGGTTTGAATCCACTACTTATAAGAGCTGGAGACCTAAGCAAGTCACTAAATCTCTCTGTGCATTAGTTACTTTATTTATAAAATGAGAATGACAGTACCTACTTCAGAGTTTTGTGAGCATTAGTTAATACATGAAAAATGTTGTATGTGTTTACCATTAGCATTGTGTCGTAACCAGAACTGCATTTTTTTTATCATAAAAAAGGTGTTGGGGGAGGGACCTAGGCCTTTCTCGACTTCCAGGTCTCCATTATTAAGGCCACTTAGCAGCCTTACGTAGAATTCCATTTTGAGGAGCCAGGAAACCAGAGAATCTTCTTAATAGTTCTAGTGCCATTTGCATCGAGCCTGGTAGGGCTGCCGGGGAGTACTTGGGGGTGGGGGCGGGGTGGAGCTTTTCCTCAGGCTGTCGTTGATTTGCATGAGCTGCAGCTAATTGGGCGTGGTGGCGGGGACCCAGGCAGCAACCTTGGGACCCACTCTCCCCTCGTCGCTCCGCAGCGCCACCTGCCTGCCTTCTCCTCCACCAGCCGGCCCAGCGGCGCCGCCTCCCGCTCCCGCCCTAAGTCACGAAGGTTCCCAGCGGCTCGCTGCGTGCGGGACGTGACAAACGTTAGCCGCACGTCCCACCAGTAAACTCACAG